AAGTTTGGACATTCAAACGATTTTTTTTTCTTTTTTTTCAGAAAAATATTTTTTTTGGATACTGGAAAAAACTTCACTAAACATTTCAAGTGACTATAAAACATCATCTCTGTTCAGTGATAGAGCTAGCAGGCAGCATATGGGCCACACTAGCATTTCAAATTTGGCTTTTACTCTATAGATGGGTAAAACCTAATAGAACAAATCTCTAACTCCCACCCTTGTTATCTTTCTTGGATGCATATTTTTAAAAAGTAGTCACACCCATACGCGTGATGTATCTGCTACTACATGTGACATGCTGAAGTTCAGACACTACCAATGGTTCTGGAAAACTTATTTTAATTGAAAGATAACCAGCCATTGCAGTTCCCATCAACAGTTATTCTGAGGAAGCAACAATATCAGGTAACTCTTGGTAAGCACCAAGACATCCATACAACATAAGCAAACAATTAAATTCAGGAAGAAGATAATCCAACTTGTCAAAATAAATTTTAACAAATAATGGTTTGCAATTAGTCTTTAAAGTACCTTAAGGCCAGGCTTTGTCTTTACAATGTGACAAACTTTTTTTTCATAATAACATGGGCGTCCAAACACACTGTTATTATAACATGATAATTTTGGTAACAATTCTTTCAATGGAAAGTTAATTATTAAATGAAGATAGAAGCAGAACTGGAGTTTTTTTAGTTCTACAAGATGCTCCGAGTTCGCCGACCTCACCGAGCCTTGTCTCTAGATATATGTGTGATTTGCTTTGCATGGGGAGAGACGCACTCGCACGTCTTCTTACACTGTCATACATCTTGGAATTTCTGCAAAAAGTTGCTGAAGGCTTTTGGTATTATTGGGTGACCCCTCCCACGAAAGAGTTTCATGAGCTGTTCCCTTAAGTGGGAGGGAGTGGTTATTAAGACTAAAGCCCTCTAAAGAGGGGCACTTTTTTCTGGGTTATAGAGCATTCGGCTTGCAAGGAATCATTGGATTTTTAACGACCAGGCTACACCATCCAAGAGCTGTGGGATAAGGCAACTTTTTTTGGGCTACATTATGACTTAAGTCACATGGATACTATTCCAAAATTAGCATAACTAACCTCCATCAAAACTGTTATTTCAACAAAAAAAAAAAAAAGCTCCATCGAAACTGGGAAGCTTTTATCTCTAGCGGCTAGAGTGTTATTTGTTTGAATTTCTTTATTTTTGGCAATTTTGAGGAGGATGTTGTATTCTTAGTTCTTCTTTCCTTCACAAACAAAATTTCTTCTTTTATACAAAGAAAAGAATAGAACCTCTCTCAAAATATTAAGAAGTCACATAAAAAATCAGACAAAAATTAGAACAGAACCTCTCTCGAAATAACTAGGATTTTCCTGTTCTTTGAGAGATTTAACTCAATTAGAACAGAACCTCTCTTGAAATAATAAAAAATCAGACAAAATATTCTGTTTGGATAAAGAATGAAAAATGAATGAATCCATAGAAATCGTAGACAACACAGGATGTGATCTCTGCTCATCAGACCACCATCACAAGCTAAATAGGTCCGAAGCATACTGCATCCATTCGATCCCTTTCAATGGGCCCCTAAACTTTGTGGCTGTTCGGGGTATGGATATGCATATATATGCCAGAACGGTAAAAAGGTTCAACTAAAATCCTAACTTAATTTTCATGGTTAGAAGGTGAAATGCAACAATTTATTATCCACTACTGGAATATAATTTATTGAAGCAAAAGCCAAAAAAGAATTAGAGCATATTGCAAGAAAAGCATACCGTAAAAGGTAACGCTTCAAAAGTGCCACACACCTCGAAACAACTGCCGGGCTGCAGCAAATTAATAAACCATGTAAGCAGCAAATGATTTAAAATATCAATATTATTCTAAACCAATGCTTAATGAAAAAGAAATAATATTTCTGTCAAGGAAAAAATAAAGACACAGTGAATTGTTACAAGAAACACAACCAGATCCCACATAAATATAAGTAGCAAAACAATTCGTCATGACACCACGAATGACAGATTGCAAGTGCATGAGCTTTATCTGTGCTCTCCTGTTACGAGCGCTAATAAACAAATTTGAATATACTAAATTGCTACATATCTTAATAATTCTGATCCAAGATGATGAAGACATACATAAGTGAATATATATTATGCAATAGTTGGTGAGTTAAATATTAATTAGCACTTCATACTTTACCAGCAGGGAGACCAGAAATTTATACAAGACTTCCAAAAGAAAGTTCGCCATTTTGGAAGCCGCCACCTCACAAGTTGGTACTTAGCTTTTCCTTGAGCATAGCTCAAAACCGAAAAATTCACAGGTTTCTGACCTTAGTATCCCAACAACCGAAAAATTCCTCTTTTACTGGGAATTCCTCTCCTCTGATTAATGGGAAAATCCTACTTGTAAGACAGAATTATTCAACGGTGAAAATTTGCACAGGCAACTCTATGGAATAGGCACTTTACCAAACCACGGAAAAAATTATTGTTTTCATTCTCTCTCCCACTTTCACTTTCTTTAAGCTAGATTTTTTTCCTATTACAGGGAGTATTATTCTAATTTTTAAAAGAAAGCCCCATTTTAGCATTGACTTTCAAAAGGTAACTCTCCAAGTGGCTCTTATCAATGTGGATACATTGTCGAACCATGGCAAGATTCCACTTATTCTTACCTTTTTGCTTTTACTTCAGATCTGAGTGTTAATTCCATATGAGTAGATTTCACAACATGCTCTGTTCTAATTCAATACGAGACTAAATTTCTGGTTTTACAACACTCTATATAGTTTTCTTTCCAACACTTGTTAAGTAAAATTAAGTAATCCGAGCAGCACGCGTACTAAGTTTCAGGTCATTCCAAAAAAATTATTTAAATTGTGAATGGCAGTGTGCACAACTGCAGAAAATATAAAAATGAGGTGCATGTCAAATGGCATCAATAGCTCACTTATTTTTCCCACCATGGTTCTCATAATCATGCTAGATAGAGATCCGCCATTTATGCATTTCGTGATGTCATATACCATGTCTGTAACTGAAAACTAATTACACTGCTTTAATTTATGAATTCTATGGCCTAACATAATGTCCCTTCGGGGACATCTTAAAAACATAATACTATCTCAAATGCAGTTATTGCACTTGAAAATTATGCCTCTAGTTCAAAACTCAAACTGATTACCAACTAAATAAGCAAAATTTCCTAATTGAATGTAGCATGCCACATAAACAATAAGGTAACAAGCAAATAATTACCTGCGCTCCCTCTCTGCGATGGTGTGCTCTAAAATTACACTATAGGCCAGGTCAGTCGTTGTTGACGCTGCCAGATAGTCCTGTAACCATTAATAAATGGTAAGGTCTTAAAGTAAATACCATAACCCCTCCTGGAAAAAGCACAGTGTAATTTGAATGAAGAAATTTCCTAATTATACTTCTTTTCAAATCAAAATATGCATTGATATGTGAAGACAAAATTCTCAGAAAGTAAAGGTCTGATCTATTAGAGTTCACCCGCACCATGAAAGACAAATTGTAGACAGTTGTTTGATTGAAGGGGGCAATAGATGGAGGTGAATTGGAAGTTTACTTCACACTACGTTGTGTGCTCTGAAATATTAGATTACTCCACTAATTGAGGCTTTGAAACCAAAAAAGGCAACTGAACAAAGATGGCTTCATTTGACATCCAAGTGAAAATGGTACAATGGAAGGGCAAATTTCAAAAATTTCTTACTACAGCATGTTCAAAAATATCTGTTCCCTTCTGTTAAGTTGAGGATGCTAGTGCATATAATTAACGGCATAGTACATTTTCTCCAAGGATAAGAAATTCCACTAAAATCATATTCAAAAATCTTGTATCATTATCATGAGAAATTATTAAATAAGTCTATCGAAAATAACTCAGTATAAGATAAGTGCAACCTGCCATCAAGAGTTAGAAGCAGCAATTTTTGGCTTACACGGTAGTTTTATCAAGATCAATAACCAAAAAATCAGAAACCCAAGAATAAATTTAGTCTTGTATAGTGCCAAATAAATCCCACATTAATTCCTAAACAAATACTTACTCCTGTCTGGATGATCTCATTAATCCGAATGGTTTACTTCCTAACTATTACAATTACAGCATATCTGTTACATACAAGCGCAGCACTAACTGCAGATCCAGTCCACCATATTTAATCAATAAAATGATGCCAGAAATATCACACAATTTCACCTACTAGAGACTATTTAAGAATAGTGCTCCATTTTGGTTGGCATAGCAAATGTATGAAAATTATCATAATCGAATTCTCTAATCCCAGAGTTTTTCCTACTCATCTGATCAAATAAGCCCTGTTGATCATTTCCGTTGAATTCAGCACACAGTTAATAAGCCATAAAATAATTTTCTCTCCGTTTCACGGTGATGAAACAAGGCAAAACAATCCAAAACCAAGATACCCGAATTCAAACTTAAACCGGAAAACCCGGGCACTCAAATCCAAACAAGGTACACTTCCAAAACATCGAAAACACAATCAAAAGATCTAAACGAAAAAACAACCGGAAATTAACATAAACAAAACAAACAATTACGCACCCGAAGAGTCCTGGCAGCTTCAGATACGACCAAGGAAGGACTCCCCTGTATCGAGCTGCCCGAAGAAGCCGACGACGAGAGACAATCGGCGACGGCTCGGCGCAACGGCTCAGGCGGCTTCTTGAGCGAGGAAGATCTCAACCTCGAGACCCCTCCAACGCCCAGATGCTGCAACCGGGAGCTCCCAGGGCTCCGACATGGACTATAGGTAGAAGACATTAGTTTAGTTAAATCCCAATTACTCTCTCTCTCTCTCTGTCTCTCTCCGCTTCTCGGTCTGTGCAAAAAAAAGAAGAAGCAGAAGCTGGGATTCGTATGTTGACAGTATAATTTTCTCTCTACATTTGAACGAGGAGAAAGAAAAGTGGAAGCGTTGTGAGAGAAAGGGAGAGAGTGTAGGAGTGTTGTGCAAAATTAAAAGGGGTGTTTGGATGACAGAGATGGGTTGTGCATAGTAGATGTGGAAATTCTTAAACTTCGCGGAGAGCAGTGACTACTGGGAGTATTTATTAGCTGTATGTGGTTTAGGCTATTCGGTGGGGGAGAGAGAGAGAGAGAAATGGGCTGAGCTGTCAAGCGCTAATTTTGTCACTTTTTAGTTAAGTGGGGGTGCGAATTTTAACTATTTAAGACTTTAAAAAGTGCATAAGTGGCATCTAATTAATCTAAATTAATATTAATATGGTACTATAAATTTTGAGATATTAGGTATATGCCTTGGAGGTTATTTTAGTAATTTAAAGTATATTATTTATTTATTTTATTGTAAATCATTTTTTATTATTTTTAAATAAAATTTTAATTTTGCTTAATTAAATTGAGTACAAAATAAAATATATAAAAAATTTTGTTGTTCCAATTATAGATTAGAAGTCTATTTCCTTCTTTTACATCAAACCAGCTTCATGTAAATGTTGGCCCGAGATTCAGATAATTCAAGAGGGGGGAGGAATTGGGTTGTTCAATTTTTTAATATTTAAAGTCTATTTGGCCAAGATAAAAATAGTTTATTGTGCAAATATATTTATTAATTAATATGTACAGTATGTTTGAATAATGGTGAAGTTCACATTTTTTTAATCAGGTTATCAAAAATGATAATAATAATATGAACAAATAAGAACAACGAATTTATTTTGCAATTAAATTATTAAGTATGTGTATAAAATTTGAACATATATATGATAATAAGTGACAATGAATAATAAATGATATAAAAAAAATTAATTAAAATACAAATATTTTTATAAAAATTTTGTCACATTACTTGTGTACTTATCATTTTTATCAAGTTAACTACTTTATATTTTATTATTTTCTTTAAAGTATTATAATATCGCTAATTATTTATGGTATTTAATTTATTAACTACTCATGTTGTCCCTTACACTAGTTGATTTTTTATTAAGTTATCAAACTCACATTTTATTCATATTTTTCTAAATTTACTTACATGTTTATCAATATGTCAAGTTCATCTATTATTTGTCTTATATTTTATTATATATAAATTAATAATATGATAAATATTTAAATAAATAAATATGAAATATCGTTACATGAAAAATAAAATAATATTTTATTATCAATAATTTTATACATTAATTTAATTTTATGCATCAATGTAATATTTATATAATTAATTTATTTATAAGTAGATCATCAATAATTATAATTAATAATATAATATTGTTGAGATAATATTATATTAAAATTATACTATGAAAAATGAAGGTGTAAGAAATTGTGAATTTTATTTTAATAAGATTACTAAAACTCTTAAAAATAAAAAAATAAAGGACATCTAAATTTAATAAATTTTAAAAATATTAAATTTAAAATAATAAATTAATTTAAATTCCATATAAAAATTTTTATAAAAAATTTACAAACCTTTTTTTTTTTTTTGAAAAGGGACATTACTAGTTTTAAGAATTACAATAAACGTTTGGTTAAAGAAAAAAAGGGGTAACGTCTTCGTTTCCGTTTTCATTCCCGTCAATTCAAACCCGCAAAAACCCCCAAATTTCATTCTTCTTCCCCGCTGCTCCGAAGCACCGGAGCCTCACTTCATTGTGCTTTTTCATTTTTTCTTTCCTTTCTACCAGAGCTTCTTCTCTTCATCCAAACACGGACAGTCACCGCGTCGACTATTCCGCTATCACTCACCATCTCCAACTGATTCATCTGTCGAGCTATCACATGCCTCCCCCAAATAACCATCCGTTAACAAAATCACAATCAG